AGACTTTTGATAATCTTCATACAAAAATTAAAAACTAACCAAAAATTAATGTTCCTTACGATCATAAAACCTATGAGGCAAGACGAAATTATCCTACAATCTCTTTAATGCAGTCATCATAAACGAAACCACTTCAATAGCATGAGGTAGAACAAGACTTTTGAAAGGAGGAAGTTGCTCAACATCATCAATATGAATAAAAGAAACTTGCAGAGCAACCAATATCTCTTAACCTATCACCGGGGGCTCAAAAAAACTTTAAGTATTTAATCTTCTAACAAAGGAGATACGTTAATTCAACTCTTAAGCTCAGCCTTTAGTTCATATCAAATATCTCACACTTACTTAATTTCTAAGTATAAGTCATTTCATACTCAATATTGAACCAGCACAGCAATCATTGAGAGAATTGTTAACATGCATAGAATTTTCAATATATTGATATTAAATACAAATTAATTGTGGATGCATCTCAATACTCTCCAGGCAGCTATGAACCAAAAACCCTCAGTACATATTTTACGTAATCATGTGATTTATGATGAATTATGACAAATGCTTATTGGTTTCTATATCGAGGTTAAAGCTGATCAACTTTGAAAATGACTCTAAAATACAAATTTGACCAATTTGACCTAAAAATGGGTAGAACGCATCAATAAACTTTGGATAGTCTGAACTGGTTAGGAACCAGTCTAAAGAGAGCTGAACCAATCAAAATAAAGTAGATAATATAAATTTCCACTCCTGGTAAGGAGCACATGAGAGTCATACACATATCCAGTCCCCAATGAGGTTTGGCCTTCTCATGGAAGTCTCATGGGAAATGGGGGTTTAAAATCTTTATCAGTGTTGTTTGTGATGGCTGGGAAGATAGGGAGCTAGCAGAGCAACTAAAGTTGTCGACAGTGAGTAAAACATTTTTTTAATGAAATAAACGTCTTAAATTTGGTAGGGAGGTCAGTTGGCAGTCTCTGGTTCTGTTGACAGGGGCCTTGCAAGCCACTACCCGACAATCGTCAGTAGTTTGCGATAGGCAAGATGCACTTCCTTTTTCTGGTTTCAATTCAGTTTTTTTCTGATAGAAACATTTTTTGGCGCTTGATGTAGTGGAAAATTTTAGAGTTCCTCTTTTCTTTCTTTTTGTTCTCTATGCAGTGTAAAAAGGCAGAGGACAATAGGGATAGAAGTTGAGTTTTGATAGAACTGATGCAGGAAGAATAATGGTTAAACTAACTTGTCCCTCAAATAGTTTAAAACTAGAAAAATTTAGATGAGAAACAGAAAGGTAAACCTAAGCTAGAGGAAATTAGATATTAACATAAAAAAGTATAAGGAGAAACAGACCCAATGAGATAAGTTAGATAGAATGATAACAAGAAGAATGAACAACATAGAGAAATAACAGAGATCAATAAAGAAATTCTTAATTCGTCATCTTCTATTCTCTTCATTCGTCGCTATAAGTTTTTGTATAGGTATTAATTACAACTAATACGGAAAATTATAAAAACAAAACCTAAAACACTCTTAGTTTGTAATACTTAATCTACATAAATAGATCTAAATAACCTAAATAGCCGAAAAATACACGATAGTAGTTATTACACATTATTTTTTTAATTGAAAATTTGTTCCAAAATAATATCTTGTTTTGCATTGCATCAGTCCCGAATGATTTGGCTGCCTGTCATGTCCTACCTGAAAGTAGGTCAGAAGACCTGGTTTGCAATACAAATCCAGTTCCAAGCAAATAAGGGAGTAAACAAAAGTACAGCAAAGTCAGTTGGACTTAGAAAAACTATAGACTAGAATAGCACTGAAATTCAGTGAAAAAGAAAAAAAAAACATTCGAAGACCTCTTATCATAACCTACAGGTGATCAGCAACTATGACAATGAATTTTACTGTTTGCTATGAGACGCATCTCAATATTCAGGTCTGAAACATCATATACCATTCAAAAATTATAATTCGACGTGAAGCAGCTAATCTAGTGTGGTTTCAATAACAAAAATTACCTCAAATTTGAAAACAAGATGATAATATCATAAATAAACAAGTTTGGAGCTTATGAAGAAGATCCAGTAGCTGACACTAACATTCTTATGAGCCAGGAAATTGATGGGACAACAACTGTACGGATTGACAGTGAAAGACCTTCAGAATCTAGAGGATCAACTAGAGATGAGCTTGCGTGGCGTGCGTATGAGAAAGGTCAGCAATTTCTAGTACTTAACCACTGCTCAAACCACAGTCTAATAACAGTTCAATTCTAAGACATGAAGATGACATTTATATGATTTATCAACTTCTGCAGGAACAGATACTGACTGATGAAATACAGGAGTTAAGCCGGAAGGTCCTAAAGAATGCTATTAACAGTTCATTCAAGAAATTTCAAGCATTACAATAATTATGATACTTATTTTGTCTCCTCCACTCGTTTTTTTTTTTTTTTGAAATAACTCCTCCTCCACTCGTTATAGGGAAGCCTCATTCATCAGGAAAATGTAGAACTGTGCAAGAAGGTAAACCTCATTTATCAGGAGAACATGGAGTTGTACAAGAAGGTATTAGGGCTTGTTTACTTGTATACACTTCAGATAGACCTTGAAAAAATTGGACAAAACAATTACATCTTCCGATACTGTTTGCTGAAGTAACAACCTAATAGAGCTTGGAAAAAAATATGCCAGGTTTATGGCACAACAAATTTAAATGCAACAAGTGCAAGTGGCTTTGTTCCATGTAATTTAGACACTGGAGAGGAATCACATGTTGCAATCCATCAACCAAGCAAGCCTTATAGGCAAACTCACAAGACAGTAGCAAGAGATAAAGATTAAGGTACTAATTATTTTCTAATCCTTCAATGAGTAGTAATAACAATGTAGCTCCTTTTTTCTGAAAGACCATTATCCCCATTATTGATTCCAAACTCATGACACAAAATTGCAGCATCAGATCCAAGAACATGGAAAGGACTTTGGACATATGTTACAGGATTTGCCTTGGCCAAAACACTCCAAGACGAGAAAAATATGCTTCTCAAATGAAGAACCAGACAAAACCTAATCAGAAAAGTGACAAGTGCAATACCATTTGTGATGTTACCTATAAAAGGGAATCTCAGCTATGGAAGTCATCTATCCACGAAAAGCATGTATTAGAAAGTAAAAGTGACGCTGAAGTCCAAATAACATTTTTCTTATCGATTTTGGTAAGAAATCCAAGATATTTACCAACCTGAAGCCCATCAGTATAGTTAATCATTCTGAAATAGTTAAATAAGACCATCTTTCCCCAAGAATATTTATTATATATACATATGTAAGAAATAAATCAAGCAATTCCTTATTTAAAAAAATAGATGGTTCATAGAATATTTCAAGCCCACTCATAACAGATACTTACATTAAGAAAGAAAAAAGATTGCTATCTGGAGGTCCTTCATTTTCTTTACCATGTTTAGTAACAATAAGAATGTTGTTTCATGTTTCTTAATCATTCTACAGCTTCACACATCCCTTCATAAGAAAGGTAGCAACAGTTTGGTTCTTCCCCTCAAGAAAAAAAAGAGGGTTCCATAAGTGTCAACGCATCAAATGCACCCAGCTGCTAGAGAGACACACAATAATTTCACACCTCAAAGGAAAAGGATTATCTCATAGGATTTACAACTCAAAAAGGCATCTCCTTTCAAAGTGAGTTTAAAGACATTAGGTCAAAAAGACAACCTAATTATTGCTAGAACTAATAAGAAAAAGGGGTCAAGAGAAGATGTATAATAAGCAAGTTTTCACCAAAAGCAATTTTTGCAGATGCTATCCTTTATGAAGTAAAATTGTTGCAAGGTTTCCTAACCAAAGTTAGGTTAAAAATGATAAATACAACTGCATGAGTCTGATCCATTTCTTTTCAGTACATTTTGCTAAACTATATAAGCTCCTGTATTTCTGAATAACTGCAAAAGATTCATTTACCTTCTTCTTGTCCCTGTGTCACTGTTAACAAGACCTAAATACCTAGAGGTACTCCTAATGTATTTGTGCACCATAGATACAACAAGGTTTCAAATGCAATTATTGAAAGGCTACTCCTTTCCAATGTTATATATCCTTCCCAGAAGACCAAAGTGCAAATTAAGTTTGTATGATAACATTTTCTTCTCGTAAAGACCTAAAGCAAGATTATGTTAACCAACATCATGCACCAAACCAATGTCAGGTGCTGATTTCCAATACTTCGCACATCCTAATACATGGCATTATTTCCAAGTCTTTTATGTGTCTTTGAAGTCCATACTACCAAGCCCTTAGAGGTATCATATCATGCCTACAGCAGACTATTGACCCCAAGAATCAGAAGGTGAGATTAGGGGTTCGTTGATTGGCCTTGGCAAATATAAAATGCTAAATATGTATACATATGCAAAAATATTATCTATATGTGAATGCACAGAAATCTAGATTAGCTTTCACTAATGCTAAAACATGACCGTCTAAAAGAGATAAAACAAGTGCCAATGTATATGTCAACCTACCTGTCACAACTAAAGAATCTAAAATAAATTCATACTGAATGTTATTGGATACCTCAGAAGTATTTCCTATGTTTTTTAAGTGTTTATTCATCTCATTTTAGACATCTCGTTGGCATCCTATATCCAATGTATATAGCATGCAAATATGCGGATACAAAATTTTTCATGACTTTATACATATCACCCACCTCAACAACCTCCCAGGCTAAAAAGAAATGACAAATTGAAAGAAATCAATCTTTACCAATTCATCTTAAGACCAGCAACTAAACTACTGGCTCAGAACAGTTGTTCCAAAGATCATTAACCCGTACCTCCTCTAGGAGTCTCCTATTTTATTTCAGACCAAAAGAAAACATCACAACAACTACTTGCTAACTAACTCATCAAGTTCTTCAATTATATAGATCCAGAGTTAGGTCTCCCTCATTCATAAATTCATTCTCATACCAAACCAGTTTTCCTTTTATTTTTATTAAATCCACTAGATTTTTTTAAAAAAAAAAAAAAAAAAAGTGATCAGATATCAACGTACAGCACATGCGTTGATGCATATTCCTGCCTGCACATACAACCAACATATATTCTTACAGTGAAAAGCCGTAATTTTCAAGAAAATCAAGCAAGAACTTCATCGAGAGTTGTTATATCAAAAATCACTTCCATATACGTAAAAATAAGAAACAAAAAGAAGCAAAAGTATTTTGCGAAATACTTACAGAGAAGATATGAAGTCTGTTTCGTAACCGAAGAGAAACCACGGAAGCTTCATCCGAGGAGCGAAGTAGAGAGACGAATGTTGATGGTTATGGCCAGGTTAATTGGGGGTTCCTATAGATGAGAAGGAGAAGAGATGGTTAGATAGAAGACACGAGAAGGATCTGATTCTAGAGCGAAACTCTGACATTTAAATATTGATTTAAAAATAAAATATCTCCGTCTGTTTATTTTGTTAAGAACTTGTGTATTAAAATAATAATAATAATAATAATTTAATATTTATATTATTTATTTTTATTAAAAATAAATATTACGATCAAATTAATTTTTATATTTTAAAAAATATTTAATTTAACACTTCAAGTTAATAAAAATTAACGTACTTTCTATCTCTTCCTTTTTCGTGCTTATTTCTCTGTTTGGTAATTTATTTTTTAATTATATTTTACAAAACAATAAAATTATTGAATATATATATATATATTTTTTAAATTTTTTAGAGCAAAAATTATTTAATCTTCTAAAAAAAATTGTTCGTTTTTATGCATCAATAAATATATATGGTCATTTCATGTGAAATTTACATGTCTCTATATATAATTTAAAATAAAGAGGAACTTTATCTTATATTTTTGTTAGAATTATATAAATAAAAATGTCTCATACTTTATATTAAAAAAAAGAAATATATTATATTATAACACGTAAAACTACTAAAGTACACATTGCATGTTATGTTATAGTATCAAACATTCATATATTTGATTGTTTTAAAAACAATTAAAAAAGAAACCTCATATGTTAAATATAATTAATTAAACAATTATAATATTCTATATATTCATTAATTATATAATATATATATATATGTATCAAATATAATCACACAAATTTATTTATAAATGACCTCAGACTTTTCATCTGACCTCAAATAAATTCGCATGTACATTCACGAGCATGCACCCAGTTTGCACGCAGACAACCTCTGTCGCGGCTGTGGTGGCGGTCGGCTCTGACCCACAGGCCACAACTCCTCCTACGCTATGTCTACCCATCAATAATGTTATGGATAGTCTTATGAGAATTTGACAGTCATAAGTTTCAGTAATTGTAATTCATATATTAAAAAAAAATTATTGTCAATTTATTGAACCGAGTTAATATAATATATGTCAAAAATACTATAGATTAATTACTTTTGAAGGAAATAAGATATTAATTTTTTAAAGTTGGAAATTAATTATTTTTCGACATTAATGTATAAATTATCAACTCGTGTAGGCCATGGAATTTGACTGCATTCTGACCAACCATGTGCAGATGTTATATTATAAGATCAAAATAATAATATTTTCAGACTAATCTTTTCTTAATTACTTTATATATAGGTGCCTGGAGAAATCAAGATCCAGTGTCTACTAAGTAATACTTTAAACATAAATATATATATATATATACATGCATGTATAATATTGTAATCATGGTAATAGTTGATCAAGAACATCATACAAAGTAGAGGCAATTAAAATTACCATAATTTATTAAGAAACGAAAATTGCAGATACCCGAGAAAACAAAAATGGAAGAAGAACGAGAAGAAAGAAGGAAACAGATCTGCATAATTGAAAATTACTTTAAAATACAAAAATTAATCACATTTTTTTTTTAAATTAAGATACAAAAATAAACGCTTATTATAAATTAATTAAGCACAAAACACCTTTTGATTGATTAATTAATTAACTAATTAATCAATCAATCAGTGATGATCATCGCGTAAATCCCATCTAACGTCTCTAAACACTACTTGCGGGTACCGTACTCGACGAGATTCGTCGCAGTGGCAATTACCGTCGTCGAAGTTCTGCGAGTAGCTAACAGCGTCATAGCGGAAGGACAAGGGTTTGGATCCATAAATACTGGTTCTCCCCTCTCTCACCAGCCTCCGCAGAAGGTTTCTCCATCTCCGGCTTCCCTTGTTGGCGGCGGCGCCGGCGATGTTGTTGTTGTTGCAGTAATTGAAACTCTCTATGCGGGAGTATTCCATTTCGTCGTGGACGGGGAAGCAAGACGGCGACGACATCATGCAGCCGGACAAGCAGGAGGGTCGTGGCCGATTGTGGTGGCGGCTGAGATCTCTTTCCATTTGTATCGGAATTTGATTTCTCTGGCTCTGGTTAACAAAGGCGTTGGGTTCTCATTCCAGCAACGACATGAGTGAGAGGTGAGTCTGGGGGATGTTGATGCTTTTGTAGTGTAATTATTGTGTCCTTCTTGCGCCTATTTTGCGGACTTTTATTTTAAAAATATATATTTTAAAAAAAATTCCTAGTTTTTATTTTTACAATTATGCGGGGAATAGGACAAGAATTATTTATTTAAATTGATTAAAATACATCATTTATATATATATATATATATTATATTTAATTTATTTTTGATAAATTTGACCAGAAAGATCAATTGGTTTTTTTTTTTTTTTTTTTTGGGTATGTACTAGGGTTGTATTTGGAGGATAGGGTAAATACCCATTACTCTACTAAACTATATTTAATGTTTGAAGAGTTCAAAGAGTTTAAAAGTAATGCACTTCACGGACTAAGATTGATTAGTTTTAAACACTGAGATAATTAATTATTAGATGGGTAATTATGGTGATTTAGGCATGTGATTTTGGTTAGAGAAAGGTGTTGTGGGGACTTGGGGAGTCTTGTCCTATCCTTCTGTATTTGTGAAAAAACTTTGAAATAAGGAATTAACGGAGGTTAAACGGGACACACTGCAAACACAAACTAAACGTTAACATGTTTACAGCTCCTCTACGATTCCGCAATCTTATCTCCATCCCTTTTTTTTATCGTCTTTCTCTTCTTCCTTGGATTCCCTTTCTATTTTCAATTAATTTAATTGATAATATTATTTATAATGTCAATAATAATTATGAAATTTATTTTTTCTTAATTTTCTGAATGGTCATTGATACAGTTCGATTCAAACCTACAATCTTTTTATAAATAATATTTTAAATGTTTATTAAAATATTTAAATACGGTTTAAATCATGATTTGTGATTAGATACGTTAAATTAAACGGATGAATAATTTAATTAAGGTATAAGATAGAATTTTGGGTACGAGGCAAGTGGACAAAATGAAGCAGAAGGCATGTTAAGCCAAAACATTGAGTTTTCAGGTTCTCACATGCAGCACTGACCAATTAATAATGTTGGGTGGCACAGGATAAAGGACACTGAACAAATCGCAATACCTATTACTTGTCATTTGATTATGTTTCTTGTCCCTATGTTCATAATATCGGGTTTTTGAAGTAAATAAAATATACCGACCGCGGAAGACATCGAAGCTGGAATAGCTCAGTTGGTTAGAGCGTGTGGCTGTTAACCACAAGGTCGGAGGTTCAAGCCCTCCTTCTAGCGATCCTATTTTTCTTTTTTGCCTTTTTACTTTGGGGTCTTTTTCTGAGTCTATGGGGTGCATTAGGCTGAAGAAGAGTTAAGCCAGCGGATTACAAGATCTCTTGCTGGAGAAAACTGAAAAACTAGTGGGTTATAATATACATATAATTATTACAATACAAACTTCTTTTATAATTGAAAATTGAAAATTGAAAATGGAAAATTGAAGATTGATAAACATGGCCAATTTTTGTGGGGGTTAAGTTCTTGGGGAATTATCATCTTTAGACTAACACCCGAATCAGAATGTTTCTATTTTTGTACTTTGCTTTATTTGAATAAGTTGTGTTTAGTTTTAACTTTACAAAAATTTTGTAATATCGTAACTGTAATTTAATATTACGTTATGTATAAGGAATATATACATTCTGTTGTATTTTATTCTAATTTTACATTGTATTTATCTAATTCGATTATATTTGACAACATGCTTATTTGGTAGAAAAAAATAGATTGATAAACACGACCAATTTTTGTGGGTTAAGGTTTTGAAAAATTATCATTATTTTTTTTAAAGTTAGTACCCGAATCAAAATATTTGTATTATGCTTTATTTAGATAAATTGTACGAGTCTGCAAAATTTTATAATTTTATATATATAATTTAATATTCTATTATGTATAATGAGATAAATAATTTATCGATAGATAATTACAAGCCGTCATATATGGCATTATGTACAAAAATTGTAAGAAAATTGATAATAACTGAATTTTAAGGTAAAAGTTATGAGAGTTTTCTTTATAGACT